ATCACTTCATATTAAAAAAAGATTAATAAAATTATGATTTAAAATTTTGTTGTTTCATTTAATATAACTAACATTAGAGGCCAAACAGTCATAATCACTCATTAGTGGTGGCTGTTAAATTAATATTTGATGCAAAACAGGTCAACCATCTGAGTGTTATTAAACTACAACTGAAGTAACTTGTCATGTTACCAATTTGATAAAAAACAGTTTCAGATATTGCTATGCAGAATTTTACCCATCTAGATAATATAATAGTAGTTGCATCTTGCAGCTTTTACCTCCTTTTTTTAAAAACAAAATCTCCCATTTTCATCGAAATAAGATGTTTGTACTAATTTAATAGCAGATGCTTAACAGCATTTTCAATGTTTTACTAATGTATAAGTATTTGGACACCTGTGATATAAAAGAAAAACAAAATTTGCTCAAATTCAAAAGTTGGTAGAGCCACCTTGAGAGCCAATTAAGTTTCGATCCTCCGGGGTATGCTTTTTACAAGTCCTTGTATGATGGCTATTGGAATTTTCTTCCACTTGGCTTGGAGAAGACATGTCAGTTCCTTCACCGATACTGGATGGTTGTTGCAACCCTTAAATCAGCAATCCAACTCATCCTACAGGTTCTCGATAGCATTTAGGTCTTGGCTTTCAGGTCAGTTCATTTGGTCAACCCACTGTCATCATACCTATCCATGGTAGGAAGCTGGCGATGTCATCCTGAAAGTAACATGAGTCCAACCGTGAAACTGCTAAAATGTAGGAAGTACACTGTCATCCAAAATAGTGCAGTAGGCATAGGTGTTCACTTTACCATGAGTTTGGACCAAGGATTCTGGCCTTTACCAGGTAAACATCAGATCATAATTCACATTTTACCAGGTAAACATCAGATCATAACTCTACCGCTGCCAAACTTTACTGTACGCACAATGCATTCTGGCTAGAGGCATTGTCCAGGCAGACACTAGACCCAGACCCTGCATCCAAACAATAGAAGGTGAATCTTGATTCACTGCTCCAGAGAACTCGTTTCCACTGATCAATGGTCCACGACACGTTTTGCACCATATTAACAGAGCAGTGGAGTTGTACTTTTTGATCAAAGGCTTCTAAGTAGCAGCACGGCAATGAAAAGAAGCAGATGTGCTTTTTTATGGATGGTATTGATCAAAACAACACTCTTGGTTGCCTGTTGAAACTCCTGAACTATGTGGGTCATCGGATAGGTGCGGTTCTTCTGAATTTCTCTGGACAGCACCCATCATTGCCTATCTCCGAGTTTCATGGGTCTGCCAACTCAAAGCAGATTCTAAAAATTGCCACTCACCTTCCACTTCTGAATCACATAGGCCACTGTCAAATTTGGGTAATTCAGCTCACTAGATATGCCCTTTAAGGATCCACCATTTTTGTGATAGCTGATGATTACACCTTTCTTGAAATCAGATAACTCTGCAGTTTGTGGCATATTGCATGCCACTAATGCCAATGTTGTTTACATGATATTTAATGGTGGAGGACATGAAGTGTATCAGGACCGCAGATATCAGCATTTGCATGGGTGTCCAAATACTTATTGGCAGATAGTGAATAAAATAAGTCAATTTTAATTTTAGAAAGCCTTGCTGCACCAGGGAATGAGCTCTGTGTACTTTATCATTAAAAATTACTTATCTAAATCTTATATTTCTTGCCTATAATTTGTAGAGTCTCCCTTTTATGAAGGAAGCTTTCTATACTAAAGAATATTGTATTAATAATTATGTGGTCGAAACATTAAATAAATGTTTTCCATGTTTATATTTTAAGAATGCATTTCATTCAGAAACTTCACTTATCTGATGGTTAAGAAGGAATACCACCAGGCAGGATAACTGGGCTTCAGAAGCTATGAAATAACCTCATTTGAAATATTTTACCTAATATACTACAAATCAAAAACAATTTCAGTTCAATAGAACTTATGCTTTTTATTAAAATTTCAAAAACCATACCATTTGGATACCGCATGAGTGTTTTTATTTTCAGCACTGAATATCATGAATATATATATATAGGCCCGGTGGTGCAGTGGCTAGTGCGTCGCACAGCAGCACCACAGGTCCGGGGTTCGATCCTCGGGCTGGGCAGGGTCGACTCTGCCTTTTATCCCTTGATTTCCATCTTTTGGATCGATAAAATGAGTACCAAGTTCATTTGGGGACTAAACACTGGGGGTCCTGCAACCAAGCTGACCACTTGTTCAGGCCATATGCTTATGCACCCCGGGGCCCACGGTCAAGAAAGCAGATTTCGGAGCACTGCAGGCGTTGGCCCACTAGGGCTGTTACGCTACTGACTTTAGTTTATCTATATAGCATAGTCAGAACCTAATTTAGACTTGATAAGGCCCTAAGCTATTTGAAATATGGGGCCCTTTATAAGTCTGTTATACTATATTTTAATTATCTGGGGCCCCCCAAGAAAGTGGGGGCCCTAAACTATAGCTTGTATAGCTTATACATAAGTCTTGCACTGAGTATAGTACAGTAAAAGATTGACTATCCAGAATGTTTGGGAAATTCGGAATTCTGGATAAGTGAAATTGACTGATAACCGACTGATATGATTGATTGATAACCATAAAACACAATTAAATACGGGAATCCTTAAATTTTAATTTAAAGTTATTGCATAGAACAGTAAAAGCTTGACTATTCAGAATCCTCAGGAAATTCTGAATTCCATACACGAAATTTATGGATACCTGAGCGTATATAAAACGCAATTCATGGTAGGAAAGTCATGTAAATGGAGAAAGAAATTTCCAGTCTAAAATAATAAAAACAGCCATCTTCTTTGTTATCAGTCAGTATAAAAAGCCTACATTTAAAATTTATAAAATTTTTAAAAAAATGTATTCCAAACATAAAATCTGGCATATTGCTGAAGGCTGATAAGCCTTCAACATAAGAAATTAAAGCATCTTATTCGATTATATAAAAGACTATCAATCATAAATGTTAGCAAAGGTGCCACAAAACATGCTCAAAGAAGCTTAAAGATTAAACATCATTCTTTATTTAATTAGAATCATAAGATTCAAGTCATGGACATAGCATTTAAAAGTCTTAAATTGCATATCATAGTTCATGTTGCAACACCATTGTTTATTCGTTTTCAAATAAGGTGGCTTATTATTCCCATTTAAATACACTTTTTTTGGTGCAAAGGTTCTATAACTTTGAAAATACTCCATGTTGTTGAAAGAAGGCAGATCCCAAATTGTAACCATTTTTCAAACTGTGGGGAAAAGCAGATAAATAACAGTTGACTTATATTTTCTTTACAAAAACTAAACTGGCTTATCAAGAATTAATCCAATTTATATAAAATTAAGGTGAAGATCTTATGACTATGTGACATTGTGCTTTTACGTTATTGGTTGGAAATCACATTATCTGGTGACAGTTGTTGAAAATGGTCAATGGGAAAGTATGTTAATATCAAATTTGTTAAATAATTATAATACTTTGGAATGCATTTAGCAGAACTGAGAAGGTTTGTTACTCTAATGCTCCTTCCACATAGTTAAAATACTGGCAAATATAGTGATCACAACAGACAAAATAAAGCCTATTGTGAACATAGGAATTTCTCATATGCTCCAATGCCATAGTAAGAAAAAGCTTCTACATGGAGTTCACATTAGAAGTTTCTTGATAGTAACTTCCTATTTTTCTTTGTGCAAGGTGTATCCTGTTCCAAAGATGAATTCTTGGATCAATAAGTTGATTACAATGGTAGGGAGGAAAGTGTGCCTTCTGAAAGACAGCCATGCAATTAATTCTATTCACAAGTTATCAGCATGATTTCAAAACCCGTGCTTTTTGATGGCTTAACACATCTCCAATTTGCTTAATTTTGTAAAGGAATGTTTAAAAAAAACTGGAACTATAAAAATTTTTTAGTTACTTGAGCTTTCCAGTTAGCTGAATACCATATGGTTGGGCTTTTACTGTAAATGAAATAGTTGTTACTTTAAAATTACTGCAGAGTATATGAAACCTTAATTTTCTACACTAAGAAGTAAAAACTAAGCGTTATCTTTCAAAAATAAAAAAAAGGTCATTATAATGTGTTTATTAAAGATGTAAGAAAATTACTGAGAATAGTCTACATTATATTTTCATCACTGACTTGCAACTTTTGGATAATGGTGAAACTTCATTTCTTTATCTACCTTAAAAAATGTTATTCTTAGAGTTGCAGTTACAATAAATTTATCAATAAAGAGTCTGAGGTTAAAAGCTGCAATTTAAAAATAGTGTAAAAGTTTGAAACTGCAAATGAGAAAATGGTTAAATGGTCACAGAACATAAAAAATAGCCAAAGGTCCTCTTTTTAAGAATTCTCATATTTAAGCTCATTCCACAGAGGAAAAATTAAGTGATATTAGGAATTAATGAAGAGAATTGAATAATATCAGATGTTTAAATGATTATGATTTTTTCTTTTTATTTCAGTAGAATGTTCTTTTGCAAACATTGAGCTAGCAAGCAAAATTGATAGCATGGATGTAAAAAACAAGATCCAAGAACTAGAGAAAGCATATGAAACTTGTTTAAACTCCATCAAGAATAATAATGAAACGGAAACTACAATGACGAAATAATTATGTTATCCTAAAATATGCTTCAAAATAAAATTTAACTTTTCCTGTGTATAGTTTTCCTATTAATATTAATGTGGGGATGGGGAAAATGCAATACTATTCATGCTATAGGAAAGTTAAAATCAAAATACATATCTTCACTTTTCCTAAAAAGTGGTTCTTCCCCTCTCCCATCCCAACAACTTTCAGATAATTTACAAATATCTGATAAATGATCGGATAATATAACCTCTTAAAAATAATTGATATTTTAAAATGAAGCAATTTAAATACAACATTCTTGTAAATAATTAACATAAAAATAGAAGAAAAGTGCTATAAGTTAACATGGCAGGAAACCCACATTTTTTTAAATAAAAAATGCTATTTAATTCCTATAAGTATCATGACATCGTTTTAAGTGAAAATGTTTATATACAGAATGCTCTATTTTCTCATATTTATATAAAGAATTCTAATTTTTCATATTCAGTCTTCACTATAGGTAAGTGATTTGAAAGTTCTTGAGGATTTGAAAGCAGAGCTGGAAGAACCTAAAAAATATGAAAATTAAGTACAGAAAAAGTTGCCAGATAAAATTTATTTCAGTGTACAGACTTTAAAAACACAAGGCTAGTAATACATTAAAAATAAGTTTACACATATATTAGACTTGCTGAATTATATTCACACAATATTTGCTAAAATAAATTTTTTGAACCTTTAATTATTACAGTTATTTCTAGCCTCTTACATAAATATATAAAAATATTTTTTTTAAATAAGATAGTTATTTTTTCTATTTTTCAGCAAGTAATCAATGAATGTTTTTTTTCAAAAGGTTTTCATTCTATTAATTGATATTTTAAGATTTGCTAATGTAATGTAACTTAATCAAAAATTAAAAAAATAATAATAAACTATACTTGATAAAAAATGGTTATTAGATTAAACTGAATCACTTTTCAAAAATATAATTTTTGTTTTTATATGAAATTTTTAAGCAACACTTTTTGCATTCTATTAAAACTTTAAAAACTTGTAGTTGACTAAAACTATTAAAACTTTAAACTATTAAAACTATTAAAACTTTAAAACTATTTAAAAAATAACAGAGAGAATAAAAAATCATAAATACACTCATGCTAAAAAATAAGCAACAATCGCAAAACACAGAATAAAACAAAAACTATTTAATGGATATACGTGAAATTGATCCAAGAGGTTGGTGTAGCATTACTAGACCACATAGCAAACAATAAAGCATACAAAAACATATGTATTATGACCATCTCATCACAAAAAAGCAAACAGGTCGGAAGAATGTGCAAGGGAAATATCATGCTAATAACAGGCATGGAGGCCTATAGCTGAGTTGGGTTACAGCCAAAAACATCGCAAATGAAAATGCTGTGGAGAAAACAACGCAAGGCAAAAACATCGTGGTACAAAACATTGTAGGAGAAAAGAAAGCAAAAAGAAAACATTGCAGTTCTAAAACAACGTGGTACAAAATATTATCGTCAAAAATAAAGCGGTTAAAACATTTTGCAGTTTAAAAACATCATTGCTGAAAATATTGTGGTAAAAAACAAGGCACCTACAAATAATTGCATGACAATAACATCACACACATGCATTTTTCAGATTTTAAAAGTTGTAAATGCATATTCGCATAAAGATTTGGAAGCGCAAGAAATGTCAACGACACTTTAAGAATAAACAGAAACAAAACAAGATTTAATTTCCACCAAAGCAATATCAGATTAATGAACGTGAAAGAATGTAATTTAATAATTAACTAAGCCATTTTTATAGAGGTGACCTCATGCAGTTATTTATCTTCCTTTTTCTAAACATTTTTAGGCTGTATTTTTCATGAAAAATTATGAATAAAACTTTATAGAAAATATAAATTTATTAATGAATTTTAATAAACAACTACATAAATTTAAAATTCTATTAAGTGCTATAAGTTGCATTAATTTTCTACTCATTTTCAATTGCTTAAGTTTCCTTCTTACTTTTTCAGCAAAAAAATTATTAGTTCATTCAAAAATATGAAAGTAAAAATATTCCTCTTTCCTTCTTGTGCTCCCAAATCATTATGCAAAAATGTATTTACAGCTTTTAAAACCTGAAAAATGCATGTATGCAATGTTATTGTGATGTGATGATTTGTAGGTGCTTTATTTTTTACCATGATATTTTCGATGATGTTTTTAAACTGTGAAGTTTTTTAACCGCTTTATTTTCACTGACGATATTTTGTACCATGATGTTTTATAACAACGATGTTTTCTCTTTGCTTTCTTTTCTCTCACGATATTTTGTACCACAACGTTTTCACCTTGCAATGTTTTCATCAGCGATGTTATCGGCGGACACTGCTGAATTGCATGTTTGACAATGTGGCAAGCTGGCAATAGTGTGGTTAATTGCTTGTTGTTACAATAAGCAATTAACCACACTATTGCCATTCCTGTAGTAATTTACATTGGAGCTTGTGGAAAGGGCCTGATGGCAGAATGCGACCTGCTGTTTATTGCCCCAATATGTCCTCATGGGATCCTCTGGTGATCTAGCAAGCCATGGTTGATTTGGAATTATTTCACTCTCTAGATAACACCGCACCACTTGAGCTGAATGCGGGTGGAAATTATCATCAATAAATATTGAGTTGGTACCCATTGCAGCAATAAGAGGATGCATAAGAGGATGCATAAGAGGATGCACAAGAGGATGCAACGTCGATGCAGCTGTTCATTGCTATCCCAGCCCATACAAGTAAGCTTATGCAGTGGTCTCTTTTGGTGAAGTTCGGCACTTGATAACTTATCTCTTGCTCTCGTCATAACATTGCCGGGAAGCTTAAACTTTTATCTTATCTAAATAACTTCGGGAATCATTCTCCATGTTAAATCGACTCATCCATAAACAATATGTGGCCCCAATGCTCTGGTATCCAACTGCGATGTTCATTAGCCCAATTTAACCATGTTCTGATATGCTATAAGGACAAAGGAACACAAAGCACAGTTCGTTGGGCATACAATCCATTTTCATGCAGTCAACATGACAAAATTTGGTGGGATACAGGCTGTCCAACAGCAGAAGAGAGATATAACGCCAACTGTCATGCTGTTAGTGATCTATGGCATCTTGGACATTGCAATAGGAAGCGATCATCTGCCGCTGTGGTAATCCTCCAGTGTCCAGACCATCTTTTACAGAGGTTTCAAAGCCCTTTGGTAATGATTTCACAGCCTGTTGATGAAACTATGATGCACATTCAGCTCTCTCGCAAAAGCGGTTTGTCTTGCATCAGCCCGCAACATCCCGACAACCCTCTAATATATTTCATCGTGTAAACGGTGTCTTCAGGTTATGCTTTCCGCTTTGACTATCTTGGATTACATGGAACTATTGCTGCTTGTGAACTGACACACGAGTCTGACATGCCAATTTTTAATTTTGTTGTGGTGTGACTACCCAGGTTATGCTAATTTTGGTTGCCTATTTACATTTGGCGATGCAACCTCTACCTTATATACAAATTGTATGTTTTTATTCCCCTTTTCACATTTGTTGCTTATGTCTTGAGCACAAGTGCATTAAAATATTCTGATTTTTCAAAAACTTTAAAGTAATATTAAATTTGTGCACACAGAAGTTGCAATTTGTAATTACATTGTTTACAATTACAATCTGCCAATTAAATGAATTTTACAGTTAGAATATTACTACAGTAAATTTCTGAATACAGATCTTTAATGTAACCATGCACACAATAATTTTGCTTTAACTCTCCAAGTGTTAAAGCCATATGTATACAACCTAACATATTTTGTGTGTCATCTTGAAATACATCCAAGGAATTAAGGCAATATATTAATAGTAATCTGGGTAAAAGGACCAAGCAGTCATTAAATCATTGGGATTAAAATCAAGAAAATAGCTCTTTCTCATGGCATTTTGGGAAAGATAGGCCTTCTTAGTGAAATCCTATGCCAGTCTGAGAGTTACATGCATTTTTTTTTTTTTTTTTTTCATTATAACAACTACATGCTAATCTAGTTTTACTTTACCTTTAGATTTTCAAGCTTGCTTTCTTTTGTCATATGTTCCCTCAGAACGTAAGAATTACCTTTCTAGGTAAATAAAACAGAATAATTAGATACAGTACTTGTAATTTATTACAAAATTTATAATATGAAGTATGTAGAATCAAATGCAATCTTAATGGTTTCAAATACGAGTCGCTTAAATGTTCAATTAATCACTTTCATTAAGTTAAGCTTAATTTTTTAAAGAAATCTAGATAAATATTAGGGATCCTTTGTTTAAGTTCTTTTAAAAATTAAGTGCAAATTTGATGCATTTTTTGGCCTCCATCAATTAAACAAGAAATGATTCGCAAAGAAAATGTGACAACTTACAGAGAAAATATAATAATTTAACACATAAGTCATATATGCAATATATGAGCCTCCAGTGGTGAGCTGTAGAGGACTCATACGTGCTCTTTGTGAATTTTATCTCTATTTTGCAAGCCCCTTGCTCTTTTATTTTATTTTATATTATTGTACATACCAGTAAATATTTAAATGCTTTTTATGGCTTTTCTGTATTTCTGAAATATTGTACATTAATTTATTTAGTTAGTTGTTATTCAACTGTGAGTTTTAACATTTGCTGAATTACGATTTAAAATTTACTTCACAAGTACTTTTGGCAAAGTGGTGCTTACTATGTATAAAATTTATACACTTTTGGCAAATGACAACATTTCTTGTGCTTTAAGGAAGAACGTGTTTAACATCCATGTTCTAGAGCTATTTGCTGTAATATATTATGCCCTGTATATTTAATTTTTATAATAAATTTTTTCCTGTTTACATGCAATGATAGTTTAGTAAGATATTAAAACCCATAGTCAGCCACAACTAGTGTCAATAAAGAAGTTTCTTTGAATGCTGATATCAAGGAAGATAGAAGAGCAGCTGAAAGTCATTATCAAAATGATTGCTGTCAGCCATGAAGAAGTAGCAGCTAAGGCCAAAGTGAATTCTGCTGAAATGAAGTCTATTGTAATGAATGCTGCTAAAATAAAGGAGAAAATGGTCATTTTTGAAGACAAAACCATGAATACTGTGAACAAAACAGTGGTTACCATAAAATAGAAGCTTGAGAAAAAGTTAGGGACTATAAACAAAGAAGTTAAAAATGTAAAAGTCTCCTTAAATAAAGAAATTTGTGTAATGAATAGATTTGTCTATTGCAACGAATGCTGCTAAAATAAAAAAGAAAACTGTCATTTTTGAAGACAAAACCATGAATACTGTGAAGAAAACAGTGGCCACCATAAAATAGAAGCTTGAGAAAAAGTTAGGGACTGTAAACAAAGAAGTTAAAAATGTAAAAGTCTCCTTAAATAAAGAAATTTGTGTAATGAATAGATTAGAAGAGAAATTTCTAGAATGAGTTTCATCTGTAAATAACGTCCTGGATCAGCATATTTTGAACACACCAGCTCATCCTGCTTTGAACACCATACCACATTAGTTATCATATCTCCGAATAAAATGATGGGAAGAAATAAATGATCCCAAATAATGGGAAGTCATACAAAACACAATTTGACATGATTATGCAGGCAAATCAGTGGCATCCCAACACCAAAGTTTTAAAATTTGGCTGCCTGTTTATCATAAGAGATTGCTGAGATCTTGCACACAATTTTACCTGAACCACTTATGGATATTGATGTCATTGTTAATGAATTAGAAATGCAGTTTGGAGAAAGATTTCTCAAAGACTATCACCAATCATTATTTAAGACCTGAGAGCAGAAAGCAGGAGAGGCCCTACAGGAACTGGCAACTGATAAAAAAAAGTAATTCCAGTGTAGTTCCAGATTGTGGCTGAGAAATTAAAGGTACAAATGCAGCCATCAATTTCCAGGACTTAATAATTCCAGAAAATATTATATGAAATACATACCTATTTAATATATTTTAGAATAACTCCCACCTACATAATACACTTCTGTGCTCAGCAGTGTAAGTTTTGAAACAACTTTTAAAGTCCTCTTCTAGAATGATCTTTAATGTAGATGTCAAAAACCGCATTAAACAGTTCTTGACATCCACATTAAAGATCAAAGAAAGGTAATGCAATGTAAGGCTGGGCACTGTCATGCAAAAGTAGTCAACTCCCATTCTGTTGAAAACAATGCCTTACTCTGCAAACTCTTTGTTGAAGGCTGGCATGAACATAAGCATAATACAGTACAAAGTCTTTAATCCGGACGTCCATAATCCGGAATGATCTATAATCCGGACCATAAAGCTACAAACTTTATGCAGTGTTTATGCATGCACATAATACATTTATGCACACATGTTTAATGTATAACCAACGGTATAAGCTAAGCTAAAAATTATCTAATTATTTCTTTCAGTTAATGTTGCAGATTGCATTGTTCCTTAATATTCTAATTGGATCCGGCTTATTATTTTTTGCAGACTGTTAGAGCAATTTTATAAAAAGTAAGCTTGAACTTTCAATTATGTCAAAAACAGTTTCCGATTCTGGAGTTGCCAAAGGATCTACAAAGCGAAAGCATGTTTCAATGTCCATCAAACAAAAAGTGCAATTGCTGCAAAAAATGGATAAAGGCATGAAGAAAGTGACAGAGAGGTTAGTGAAAACGAAAAAATTTCTATTAACAAGTTAGTCGGTATTCTTGGAACAGCAATTACAGGACTTGAGCAGTAAACTTTGTAACTGAACAAGAACTTATGTCTGTTTATAGAATTAAAGAGAAAGTATTAGCACATAAAACGAAGCAACTTATACAACTTACATTGAAAGAAATGTTTAATAAAGTAAACAAATAAATATTAAGCTTTTTTTTTTTTTTTTTTGTAAATTTTGATACCCTTTAGATCATAATTGCTCTTTATTTCATAAATTATGGTTTCATATTTTTAATTTTACAATTTCTTCATGCCATTTTACCAGATTTAAATTGATGATCTATAATCCAGGAAAACCCCTAATCCAGTATCACCAAAGTCCCGACGAGTCCGAATTAAAGACTTTGTACTGTACTATTACGCAGATGTCAGAGGGAACAGATTTATGATGAATTAGTCCTTTGCTATCAAATAAGGGATTAATATTACCTTGATTTTGGACTTTCGAAATAAAATTTTTCCGGTCTTGGTGAGCTTGGACACTGTCAGTCAGAACTATCATTTGCTTTCAGAGTCACATTAGTAACACCAAGACTTATATCTTGTTACTACTGAAGCGAGGAATGCAGGACCGGCATTGCCACTGTCAATGAATTCACGGCACAAGTCCATTCTAAATTGCTTTTGTCCCTCTAATAAACGGTGAGGAACAAATCTTGCTTTCCTCTAAGCCTTGCTTCAAAATTTGCTGAATTACCTCCTTTGAAATGTTTAGTTTAATGGCATGTACTTCAAGAGTTAATCAGCAATCCGAAGTTACAAGCTCACAAACTTTCTTAATTGTATTTGGTGTGTGCACAGAATTCAGCCATCCAGAGTGTCCATCATCTTCCGATATTTTTGTGGCTGTCCCAAAAAATGGCTAAACCATTATGAATGGGACAATGTTTCCTCTCCAGACACTTGTTTCAATGCATCATGGGTTTCTGAGCAATTTTGCCCAATTTGAAGCAGAATTTAATGTTGATTTCCAGCTCCATACCAACTTCGACAACGAAAATTTAACAGCTATGTTTTAATGTGTGTTTGAAGGGCAACCGTTTGCTTCTGAATAGCAGCAACTTCACTGGATATGTGCAGATAAACGACCTGCCAAATACAAACATTACCATGTTCTGTTGATTTATGATTCTCAAAGGGTTACATGAGTTTTGGAGATAAATGGGCGCAGCTTGTACATTGAGCCTCCAATATTTTGTGGATAATATTACAGATTCGATGTGCAATTAGCATTCTAGATAGCTTATAATAAAAAATCCGAAGAATGCTTTGTAATGCATGCAATATAGTGCATGTAACGAAAGTGGAAAAATACCAGCTGCATACAGAAACTGACAAGCTGTATGCACCTGGTATTTTTGAGTGAGTCAACAGTATGGAGGTCATAAGGCTGAAAACAGTTATGGAGCTGACGAAAATAGTGAAAAGGCTGTGAGTGTCTAGTGCATAAAAGACTAGGTAAAAATCTTATGAAGGAGCAGAAATTAGGAAAAGCAGAAAACTCAGCTGTTGGTGTTCTGTAGATATTGTAAGTTTGCAATCAAAATCATGGCCCCTGCATTGAAAGAAAAATAAATATATCTCCTTGCTACATGACTAGATACTGATGTCAAAATAAATATATTGCAAGCTGATATGGCCCAGCATTTGAATAAGTACAACTTCTGTATACAGCTCCATCCTAACATGTATAAACTGTTAATGGAGAGAATATGTTAAGTATTTCAGTGTATAGAAAAATGAATGTGTCCATCAAGTTCACATTCTGTGTATATGAGCACACAATCTTTGTGGCTTATAATCATGCATATCTGGACCTTTTTTAAAAAATATAGATTTGGTTTTGATGTGAAAAATAATGAAACACACACCACTAATGAAGAAATACTGATGATTTGGAGTGGATGAAAATTAAATGAGCTGCTGTAGAACAATTGCTCATCATACATTATTCTACCTTCTAGAACGGAATGCACCATTAGCATACAACATAATCTCACAAGAAACTGAATGTAAGAGTTGCTGATTTTCCTAAAGAAAATACATATTTGAAAGGACTTTCAGTTGGGACTGCCATAGTGGATGTAACAAAAGATAATGTGCCAAACATCGCCCATGTAACTGACAGGTTACACACTTTTACAAAAGAAAGAACATAACTTTATGCTCCCCTGTGACAAGTATTGTGTGAAGTTCAGTCAATTAGAAGCAGAGTCTCCCTTAATTAAAAAATTTAACTGCAATTACATAATTAAATGGCAATCAAATTAAAGTTGCAAGTCATTTAATTAAAAAAAAATAAAGACGTCTCCTCAACTTCATCTAGTAACATTGGTCGCATGAATGTGACACAACAGTGGATTGTCACTGAAAGCTATTCACCTATCAGA